TATCAAAGTCTTTGCTTCATCAGAAAAGAAAGAAAAAAAAAAAAAAAAGACTACTTAAGACAAGTGTGAATGGTCACAACCCAGATTTTTTTTGCCATAAAAATGCAGACAAAGAACCTTGCACTAGCACAGAATGCCAGAAATCTCCCAGCATCCCCTCTGCGTTTGAGGCATTCAAATAGCAGTGCTATTCCCAAAGCACAAAAAAAAGGCAAGAACACACACCAACACAGCTTGGAAACAGGTCATCTTTAGTGTCTGAGTACAACTGGAGCATTATGCACCTCCACTATTCCTTAAATAAGTTTACGACTAAGAAGTGATTTATTTTGAATTAATGTCAACTAGTAATCATACAACCACTACCTTCCACATAGAAGCCTTTGAAATTACACACGGTTATAAAGCTATTAAAAAATAAATACATTTGACAGAAGTCTTCTCAAGGTGCAGCTCTTATATGCTGGTGAAATTAAGGACCTCCTTCTCCAAAATGCCTGATCGTTCCATAACATTTACAGAAGTTAGGAAATTGCTACAAAAACTGTCTCCTCACAAATACAATTGACGAAAGAAGTGCCAAAAGAAAGTGTTTAGAATGTTTTAGAAATCAATTTATTTTAGGATAAAGTGGGTTTTTTTCTTGCAATAAGATAGCTTTTCAACATTTATGAATTTAACTGTTCTGACAATGACACATTATGGCACCACTTGCTCTCCATGCCCAATAGCTTGCCAAGACTTATCTTTCCAGCTTCCCCTTCCCTCAGTCAAACCTCACCTCCTGTTTTCTTCCTTTCATTGTTTTTTTTCCTGTTCTCTACCATCAAACTTCAAAGCAGAAGTTTAGGATCCAGAATAGGCTTGAGAGAACTCACTAGTTAAAGCTGCATTTCTGAATTTAGAGTTGGGAAAGTGATGAACTGTGGCAAATATAAATATTTTAAACAAGTTTTGAAACAGTGCGCTTTAAAATATAGAATAGCCAATATATAAATACAATATAAATACAATACATCTAAGTATTCAGGCTACTTTTTTAAAAGCTTCACTTCCATACACACACTAGACTTTTTAGCCTAGCAGGAATACATATTCCTTTAAATGGAACGACCTGCAAGTTAACAAAGTATGATTTCTAGTCTCAGACTGAGTGAATCCCACTGAAAGCACAATGAAATACACAAGTTTCTTTAGGCAGAACTAGCATTAAAACTAGCTTCTTCAAAATCTACCCAAAACTTTTAATACAGAGAAATAATAGCAGAAGGAACCCAAACACATGCTGCCCAAGCTTTCTTTAACTACAAGAGCTGATTTCCCAAATTTGTTCTAGTAAAGTGCGATAGTTCAAGTAATAAAATATGGGTGGTAGCTTGTTAAAAAGTGAGTGCAGATTTGAAAATCTGAGAAATATCATATTTTGTCCTTCTATCTTGACCAATTTCACAAGATTTCAGTTGTGCTACTTTGGCCTTGTAGAAGTCAGAAATTTTACCAGTTGTATTTTTCATCCAACTACTTCTATGTTGCCAAAAGTAAACAATCCTACACCATCATAAAATTTGACTTAGGTTTTGTAATGAGTATTTTATAAGCAAATAATAAGATTCAAAGCAAGATATGTGCCTCCTGGAAGCTTACCAAACTTTTTTCCTTCTCTGGTTGTGCCTGTCATCTTGATCTTGGCAACTTCAAAGAAATCTTTTATTTCCCTTTCATATAGTCGTGATAAATAATCCATATAATTCTTAAAAGAAAGAAGTAAAGGTAGTTAACAGGTATACATATTGCCTTTGTCTTTTACAGTTGAAAAGTTCTTAAAACCCAGAAAATGTAAGTTCTACTAAATAACAAACTGTTTTGGACTATATATTTAGGTAGCATGCACAAAAATACATTAATGATATTTAAGCATGTTATATTAACTTTCCTAGTGAGTTCATTGAGCATCAGAAACTGCTTCTTCTCCTCCATAAGGAAAGACAGGCAATGCGGTATATGCAAATAGGATTACTAGTGGTAGAGCTTCATAGAACTCAATTCAAGGGTAGAATGGAGACAATTCAGCACCATTATCTGCAGCCTCTCTTTCTAGACTCTTACTATGTCCCCCCCAAAAGCAAATAGGTTGCCATTCCTACACATCTTCCTGAGCAAATGACCTCCTTTATCACTATTCTCAGAAGGAAAACAAAAGACCAGAAAACTTTGGGAGGCACAAACTCTCTGTGCCTACTTGCTATGAGTCAATCAATCCCAAAATAACTTGTTTGCAACACTGCCAAAAATATGCTCAAATTTTAAAAACACAAGAGGCACAACAACTGAAATAAGTTTGAAGATTATCTGGTTTGTTTAGATTTTTAGTACAAAGGTTATAATAATATTTTATTTATTGACTAAGATGACTCAAGAATTTTTTTCCTATGCTCTTCAAAATTTTGTTACTTAGCACATAACACATAAATATGAAAGTCTCCATTTTTTATTAGAAGATCACAAAGATGTCAGCCATTCATTGACCATTTGCCTTGCACCGAAGGCAAAACAACAACTATTTCAGAGCCATTTTGAGAGTCTAATTTAAATCTTCCACGGCTGAGTTTTTAAGAATGACAGTACTTCAACAAAAGAAGCCTTGTTCTCTAAGGACTAACTTTCCCTTGACTTCTACGTAAACATTTTCTATATTTCTGTAGTAATTTTTTCACTCCATATTAGTTTTAAACAAGGTAGTTAAAAGTTACAGATATACAAAGCAAAACATTTCTATTCAATCTACTTCACAAGACACCTCTGAAGTTTTTAGTATTCCCAAGTAAGATGAAGGTCTGTTGAAATAAAGGTGTCACACAGGTAATAAGCACATCAACACGAAAATAGCTTAATTATTTTCCTTACCAGACTGTAAAATGGAAAGCTTGTTTTACATAAATACAAGATTAATAGCTTATGATACTTCAGAACAGAGATACAGAAACTTGGAGGGGAAAAAAACAACGCAAGATACAACAATTACCAAAAATGAAGTTTCGGATTCTAAAGAAGTACAATAAAAGAGGAGCAGTGAATTAGAATTTAATATAAAGGAATATTAAAAGGACATGCACATACACACAGGCAATTCTTCTGACTCTCAAAAATGGTCTGTTGCACACATTCTGTAGCATAATTTGAGCAATTCACATACCTTCGTTAGCCCTTCGTATTTTCCATAATCTGTGTTCTTGAGCCACTCCATCAGTTTAGCATATCGAAGTAAATCTCTGTGAAATGGATGGTGATTGGGTAATGTCAATTCAACAGAATGCTGGGCAAGAGTAGAACTCTGATCGTGACCCTTGATAAGAGAAAGTATTAAAGTAAATCTGGAAGCACTATACAGACGTACTAGAAGTTTCCTGAAAAACTTAAAATGAAGACAGCATCCCCTTCAGACAAACAGAGAAGCATCAAAATACCTTGCACAGAAACAAAGTCTAGAGACACAGATTGAAAAAACGCCAAACATAATAAAGACACCGAGATATTATAGTTGTGGCAAGTAATGCATCTTAGTAAGCTTGTTCACTGTAATGCTCTTGTTCACCTCTGCCTTCAGGGTGAGTCAATTTGGCATTTTTTGCATGAGAATGCAAGGTATACCTCAGCGTAGATTTAATGACAAGTGCTCAACTGTTTCTGGAAAATTCTAGGAGATTATCACATCATTTCTCTAAACAAAACAAAAAAATCCATAGCTGCTTCTTTTAAAATTTGTTGTTCCCACCTACCCTAAGACATTTCAAGTGCCCGGTCAATGGGTGGCCTAGGTGTTAATGACGAGCTTTATACTACACCTCCGAAAGCCTGCTCCAATTCAACCTCCTTTAGTCCTCTTTGGCCAAGACTTGGTCAA